TCAAAAAAACTTCCACTGGATGTCACAACCCTGGATCATTACATCCAGAAAATGGTGGCACTTTACTAAAAATGATGCTGGTATGACATTAAAAGTGCACCGTGGGAGCAAGACAATCATTATGATCAGAGTGGGATATACTTATATTGACTGGTATGTAATGTAAGTAGAGCCTGCCTTTGCTTTTACTAGATGTATGCAGTGGTTTCAAATGTTTGTTCACTTCAGGTAAAGTTTCAAACTTTACACTTGTGTGACACAACCAAATACATCCAGACATTTGTTAAATTCAGTTTTTAAACAAGTGCTGTCCACAGTTTGGCAGAGACTAAGGTACTGTAGCAGGAAAAGGACAGACAGGAATCATTCTTTAAGAAAGCCCTGAAGGGCTGCCGAAAATAGCCAGAGGCCAGCGTCACATACTCGATCCCCAGAGCCAAGCAGAACATATACTCTCATCTAGCTGCACTGGGATTCATATTTCTGTGGGCATTTTGTCATTCTTAAAGGCATTGTTACCTCTTCTAGTCTGCAGCAAAAAGAAAAGCCAAGACCCAAATCTTGATCTGTGGCAAAACTGTCCAAAGGCAAGTCCACCGCACGCAACACTGCAAGCAATACTCTGCCGCAGTGTGCAACCATAATAAAGCTGTCATACAGTCTGTGAGTTCACTGAGCCTTCACCCTTCTCCCCTAGACACGGATACAAATAAATACACCAATTGATCACGCACTTGACAGACACATGCATACACCTCTAACAGGTACACGACACTTGGCTGGCCATGCATTTCCTCTCATACCCAGTCAGTCAAACACAAGCTGGAGCGGAGAGTTAGACCGATAGCACAGAGAGATGACTCTCTGACCCAGCGGCTTAAAACCCATTTAGTACTCAAGATCAAGTTCAACAGTATCCTGTATCTGTTCAGTCTTTTTAATCATTTCTTAAATTTATGACCCTTATTCAGCAGAAATTGTTCATTTGTTCAAATTCCTCTATTTTTCCCCAAACACCGCAAACCCTCAAATATTCTTTTTTTTAACAAAAGGTATAAAACAGAAAAAATCTGGGATGTTGTGCAAATTCACACACAGTCAATAAAAATTACTGAAATTGTTATTCAGTGAAAAATGCAACTCCTATCATGATAATGTAGGCTGCACAGTCAGCTGACTAGCACCACTGTGTAGTATTTACAGACTGATTCCACTTTTTTGCATACAGGCTGACTGGCATGTCACTCGAGTCCTCAGCGACCCCATTCCGAGTCAGGTCATTTCAACGTCACTTCTCCAGCATCTACTCCAGCAAGAGGAGGTTTTCTCTGGCGGACCTGTCAGTTTTATAAGCCTGTTACAATTATCAAAGTCCCTTTTATAAACCAGGAGAGAGAGAAAGCACAGGAACAAGAGAGCTATAAAGGAGAAGATAGTGTTGATGAACATTCAGACAGACAGGAAGCGATGGGGTATAAACACAAATGCAGAGCGCAAGCTGAAGAACTACAGAATGGTGTAAGAAGATACTGTATATTAGCCCTTTAAGTATGACATGACATGGTTATCTCGCCCAGCCCTACACTGTTGTCTTTGGTACTAATTACACTTGAATCTCCAGCCAGACACTCAGTCAGCCGGTGATTGGACGCTTCAGATGAAGGATCGGAGGAAACAACATCAGGGCTGCGTCCGAAACCGCATACTGTGACAGTACGTACTGAAAGAGATGAAGTACCTACTTACTGACCATTAAAACAGTAGGTACTGTATAGTATGAAGCTTGGTAGTATGAATGAGATTCGGACGTACTACATCTGCCATGTTGATACATCACGTGACATACGTTTTCATAGCAGCGCGAAAATTTAAAGAGCCCGTAAAGTTAGCAATGGCGTTTTCTATTGGCGTTTTAAAGTTGTTTCAGCAAGTAACAGTACAAAGGAGGCAAAGGGCAGCTGCTCGCAGAGCAAGGCTTCATAGGCAGCTTATGAATAATTTACTGCATAATGTAAGTATCTATTAGTATTTAGCAAGTAAATTTTACCTCAGAAACAAAAGACATGACCACAACAACTGACTTTAGCCCAAGAAAATAACTTATTTACTTGTGAGATTATCATTATTAAAATAAAGAACAAAACCAACAGAAATATAATAATGCAATTTTTTATTACATATAAAAACAGTATTCATTACATTTTATTTCCTAATATGATGACGCGTCGTCTTCTTCGTTGGATAACTCCTCTCCCGGGGCATCATGGGATAGTGAAGTGTCCATCGTATGCACACTGCAAAATCCAACCGGAAGCAGTAGGTCATCCGGGTACTTTTCGCCTACTGTTTTTGGAATACTACGAATCCGGACATACTACTCGCCTCGCCTACTGCTTTTCGCCTACTATACAGTATGGTAATAGGCGGTTTCGGACGCAGCCCTTGTGTCTCTAAAATTGCTTCCTCTTTTCCTTGCATCTTATGTGGCTGGGACTAAGATGAAAGTGAGGGAAATGTGGATGCAATTTAGGGAATTGGGACTCCTTCAGTGAGTGAGCAAAAGCTGTCCAAGTAGTCCAATGAGTACAAGCAGGATACAGAAGGAAGGAACAAAGGAAAACTGTTAAAAATGTTTACATTTTTGCCTTTAAAATGCCAGTAAAATTTTTGCCTAGATACCCAGCATTTTCAGCAACTATGTTCTATGAGCTCGCATTCAACAGCTTGAGTGACTGGCCATGAGACACTTGTAAAAATAATTTTCTTTAGTTTAGATGTATTGATATACAGCATAACCTGAATAACTTCTATACATTCCTTATATTGGCATATATTCTTTTGGTAAAGTTAATCAATCCTGTACATTTCCTTCTTTTCTGAATCTTTATTTTAACTTAACAGGAGAGAGGCAGGAAATTTGAGCAGAGAGATAGAGGCATGATATCCAACAAATGCCCTGAGCTGGATCTGAACCCAGAATGCTGCTGTTACATCCTCTTCAAAATGTAAATACAATAAAACATTTACTTATTTGCTGCATCTTTTAGAACATTTTAAACATCTGTAATAATGCAATTTACCTGAAGAGCTCATTAAAATGTAACAATCTTATCTACTCTGGTCGATCTAAGAAAATCGATTAAAGTTTTTCGCATGTTGATAGGAAGAAAGAGATAAATGAACACAATTTTCACAAAGCAGTGTAAGGCAGAATCATCTAACAATAAGGAGAGAATTGCGGAGATGGAGACGACACCTGCTTTCATTATTTGTTCCCTCTGATGCTATCTACTTTAAAACCATGTGATTAATTCACAGAGTTCAGACAGATTAGTCAATAAATTACAAACTCCTTTCCTGACTGTGCTTTGGAGATACCATGCACTGTCTCATAGCACATTTCTCAGACTCCATTTTTCATGGAGGACTTGTTGTGGCCTCTTTCTATTGTGCAAAAAAGGACTACCCGGGGACCACTGGTGTGAAAAGCATTGGTTTGATAGAGGTGGGAAAATTCTAAGTCATTGCGTATGGTACATAGAAGTGTATAGCTCAGGACTCGCTGAGGTGGGATTATACATATATTTACAAAGGGTATGTTTAAACAGCAATGTTGGTCTTTTCTCAGTAATCATGACAAACAGTATGATTAGAAACAGAAATGACATTAATTCACCTACAGATTCATAAGGCTGGTGGATTGTAAAAGTAACATGTTCACATTGACACACACACACACACAAAGCCAAGTAACAAGTCTGCTGCTTTCAGATCTTAACAATACAGTTAGGGTTGACAAGCAGCAACTCTAACCGTAATAAACAGGAGTGCTACACTACTGACGCCTCCAAATGACAAATGAGACAGGCACACATCAGAGAGCCTCTCCTACAGTGCTGCTAGTTCAGCTACAACACAGGTAACTGCATGGTGACTCTTGCAGGGACATAAATATACTTGTAGTTGCTGTCAGATCTCCACCACACTCTTTGTTAGCAGTGGAGAAAAGCAAAATCTGACAGTGGCTTCTTAGCTGTTAGCAGTGGTCAGTGTCCTCCGTGTCCTCTAACCCACGGTGCCACACATTACATAGCGACAAGGCTATGCGCCCTACTCATTGTTTCCTCACTTCAGAGTTTTTTTTTAAATATTCTACAAAGCAGAATGTGAGTGTATAATTGCCTTAATTTCCTTCCAAAAGTGCACAACCACTGTGTACCCAGTGTCTAACACTCCTCCAAGGACTGCAGAAAATATACTTTCTACTGAACTAAATGAATGAACCTCAACCAAGCAGTCCAATTAATAGGTAGCAGCAGGCAAAGACGTATGAGAAAATAATAATTTAATTTGGATATAATGGAAACACCAGTGAGCTCAGCAACACAATGAATAGTAAGGGAACCTGTTGAGTTAAAGGTATTTTGAGTTTAAATATTTCTCTAATAGTATAAACTAATTCATTTTAAATATTTACAAATGCTCCAACCCACGTGGAATTACACGCTAATGTTCCAAAAAAATTATGTGCAGAGAGTTCCTCACAAACATTTTTTTAAGAAAAGAGTTGTGGGCAAAAAAAATTATTTTCACACCCAGTCCTCTTTTAAAAACTTCCTTTCAGAGAGCCCTCAAAACAATGACAACAAACAAGGGATAAATATGCCCATTAGTGCCTAACACCTATAATACCCAAAGTATAAGTATGCATATTTCACCACTATGTAAATCAACAGCATGAAGGCTTAACAATGCACATGTCAAACAACAAGCAAAAGAAAAATAAGCTCAGCCACAACCAAACAAACGTATTCACAATTATTACCAATGCACATAGTACACAGATGGCAAGCAACATAACAACAAATGGCAGCCAGTACACACTAATACAAAGCCCACACGCGGCTCCATATGAGACCATAACAGACGGAAAACCTCAGAGGCCTCGGTATTATTAAACATGAAATCGCCAAATGGAGTAAACACTGCTGATAACGTACCTTCTTGAAGTGAAACGGTGAGACCCAGCATCCCCACAAATCCTTCAAGAAAAAGCAAAATATAACATAAGGCGCGACTTTGAAAGATGTTTGTAGCTTTAACATTCATGGTGCTAGCCGTTAAAAGTCAACTGAAAAACAGCAACTGTCGTAAACGGTTTTAACCGTTATACCGCTTAGCTAAATTTTAGTGCTGAAAACGTCTGTCTATTCCGAGGACAAAGTTTATATTTACATACTTTATTGCTATAAAGTATGTATATTCATTAGCCTTACACCTGTTCCAGCCTGTCAATTAGTTAGCTAGCTAGCTAGATGCGGCTACATTCCTGGATACGGGAAGGACAGAAGTTAGCTACTCTGGCGTTTACTTAGTTATATAACTTGTCACAAAACAATGTTAAAAAAAAAAAAAAAAAAAAAAAAAAGAAATGTTCCGCCTCCTGAAAGAGACTTCCTAAAACAAAGAAAAAACTACGCCTGGTGGGTGTAAAATAACCAAAAATGTTTTACTCCGAAACAGGTTGACTACTCACATCGAATTCCTTTTACTCCTTTAAAATCAAAGATGGTACCAGCTGCCATGGCAACTGCTTCGTTATGAGCGGTGTGCTGTCGCTGGTACAGGCTAACTGGTAATATTATGATAACCCAGTAGGCTTTCCTACGTATATTTTATTTTATTTGTGGAAAGTAGCTAATTAAGTAGCTACATTTACTCAAGTACTGTACTAAAGTACAATCTTGAGGTACCTGTGTATTTCCATTTTCTGCTAGTTCAACTTTACTGATTTTCAAAGGTAAATAGGTTGTACTTTTACTACATGTATTCGATAACACTACTTTTTCAAATCAGATTATTAAAGCAAAATACAGTATTGGACTAATCATAAGACTTTATTCACAAGCTACCCAGCAGTATGTAAAATAATTCAATTTGTAAGTATAAAAAGTAGGCCATGCCAGTAGCCTCTATAGTCATGGGTAAAGAATCCCAAATGAAATGTCAAGTCAAACTGGCTCTCTTTGACGTCATAACCATCCAATGTAAGAGCCATAATGACTAGAAGAGGCTACAATCTTATTTGTTTTCAAGGAAAACTCTACTGTTTAATAATTAATTATCAATATTTTGCTACAAATATCTACAAACACCAAGCCGTCACTGGTAGGCTAGTGGTTAAGGCGCAGCTGCGGTCCAGGTTCAAATCAGGGTTGCATCAGGAAGGGCATCCGGCGTAAAACCCGTGCCAAATGTCAACATGTGTCGTCAGTGTGACAATTCACTGTGGCGACCCCTAAACTGAAAAAGCCAAAAGTGGCTTTCTATCTACAAACACCATTCTAGGGCTGTCATATGTAGCTGTAAAACAAAAGTGACTCCCTGCTGGAAGAGCTTCTTCTCTGTTTTATGGGTTCAAGTCCCAACAGGACTTTCTGTGTGCTTTCTCTCATTTGTATCCTCCCCATAATCCCCTCTACAGGTTTTGAGGCCAATAAACAGGACTATCAGGGAGAAAGAATTGGCGGGGGAGTGAAACTGTTGACTGTCAATGAGCAAAATTTTGCCCATGGTAGTTAAGCCAATACTGGATTGCTGCTTGAAGTTTTTGGTTGGCAGTGTTAAGTAAGATGGGAAGTAAAATGCAAACTGCATCCACACATACAATACATACATGCACAGCATTTACAGCTAATCAACTATGAATAGTGAACATTAGCAAATAGCAAGCACTGACCTAATATGCATAAACAAAGCCCCCACAAAAATCCTTTCAGTGCAATATGAATTATGAATTAAGATGAATTATGGCTCAGCAGGACTGCAGCGCCTGCTCATTAATCAGTGTGTTTTCATCGGAATGGAGAAATATATCCCATTCCCACCATGTTAACACAAAGAACAGGTAGGCAAACATACTAGACAAATCTGCTCTCACATGAATTTGTGTAAGGAAAGAAGAAAATTTTATTTTGGAATCAAGCTTGCAATTGTCAGAGTTTCTTTTTTTGTGAGAAAAGAAAAGTGAAAATGTTCATAGTAATAAGGACGTCTGAGCTTTAGAAACTGAAAAAAAAATCAATTGTAGTCATTTTTATTGATTTGGGATTCTTCATCCATGACTATGGACTGTATGGCAAGATTACCTGCTGGGAAGCAGACAACTTCACTGTTTGAGTTTATATGATCTACTGCGATTTTGTTGGGGAATATGTAACATATAACAACATATAAGCTGCATTTTTACCCATCTTATCACCAGGGGTGGATCTAGATGGGGTGGCCAGGCTGGGACACAGAGTCAGAGAGGGGTGGGACATAAAATACATGTAAAAAAAAAAAAAAAAAAAAAAAAAAAAGTAAACAGTACAAATGAATCAAACTGTTTGTGTAAAAATTAGACATGCCTCGTCTTTTCTTTAGCTAATTTTGGCTGTGCTCCTTATTTATCCTGACCAGGAACATCACTGCGACATAGTGCCGCTCCTGGCCGCTCCCTGGCTCCGCCCATGCTAATCACCAGGCAAGAACATCATTATTGGATGATTCCCAGATTATGTTTAACACCAGCTTTTTTAAATTCTCCCTTTCTGCAACATCTGTGGCAAATATGGCATTGTTGTATGATTAACATTTGGTTAGCTTTAGGCAACTAAATAAGTTAGGATAAAGTCATGATTATGGTTTTTATAAAAAAAAGTAAACATTGCCAATCTGCCTCCTGAATTAAAGTCAGTTGTATCAAAATTGTCAGTTTTAATACCTTTGTTTTGTGTTTTATCAAAATAGAACAACTAGTTTTCCTGGTGCTGTTAGCATTCAGGCAATTTAATCCAATTTGTCTGACTAAATCTTTATTTCTTAAAATTAAAGTGGTCAGATGAACACAGTGAGATTTCTGCTTGTGATTTTTTTATTATCAGTCATAACATTTTTGGTATTTTCCACCTATGCATATCAGTCATGGAAGCACAGACTCATCTTTCTTAAACTTTGTTATCTTAAGATCAATGTCTATTATCATTATTTTGTGATAACAAATTTGGTTTTGTAGAGCCTTTAATACTGTCAGTGCTTCCAGGGTGCAGAAAGACTAAAATGTAATTGATAGTGTCAGCGGGAGCGATCGCAGCTGATCAAAGCAGCCCTTTGAGCCTGTGACACAGGCAGCCGCAATGACTGATAAATAAACTGTTCAAGAGAAAAGCAATTTTGCTGCTTTCCGTGACAGAGAGAAATTGGTTCTGATCACAAGAAAACTGATTTCTAAAAATAACGTTATGAGCTGATAGCAAAATTAAAATTTGAGCTGTCAAAAACATGAGCACAATGTTGTGTATAAATTATGTTATGTATAACATTAATGATTCCTTCCTTAACACATGTTTTCTATGCTGCAGTTTTTGGTGAGAGAGAAATGTTTTGCAGATTTACAGAAACTCAAACACATTTGAAGTTTGAAACACTCCGTTGAAAAGAAATAAATTGTCTCACACTGATGCGGTAAAAAGTTCAGTTACACCAAGTTCAAGTAGTACATGTCCATATAATAAGTGTTTATTTTGATGTTATATTGAAGAACTAACCACAACAGCCAGTTCACAAAGAGCATTTTCTGCTTTAATGCTGGCACAGTTTCATGAGCCACGAGGCTTTTGTGCCCTAACATATACTCAGGTTTCCCTTTGGCTCTTCTCTTCAGGAGAATCCCCGCGGCTGTCCTAAGTGCTTGTCCATTACTGTGAACTTCTTAAAATAGACTCTTTGAGCACCAAGAAAACATCAACAATGATGCATCATACTCCCAAAACTCATTTTGCCTAGAATTCTTTGTGATTGTTCATCATTACCTGAGCACAGTGCAGTGTGGCAGGACAAGTGTAACCGGGTTACCAGCCACAACACAACGCAGAAGTCCACCGGTCACACAAGCAATGCATAAAAATATTTGAAGCACTACAAGTACTATAAGCAAATACTCTCTGTGCCCTGGAATACCTGCATGTCATATGACGTGTGGCATTATGATCAAGTGGAGTGGGAGAAAGAAGATGGAGGCCAAAGAGGGCTTGGGTTGCTGTTACGTCCAATTTCACACTTCTGGTTTCTCTGTCAGACATAATAAAACAGTTGGAGATGAGCAGTGAAAACCACTGTGACAGTTTTGACAAGGACAATGAGACAATACAGTGAGAGCTGTCATCAGGGTGGCTCCAGGCTTTGATCAGGGAACCATTTCCAATAAGTGAACTACTGACCCCATTTACACCTGACCTTAAAATCACTAGTCTGCCCAACTAATTTGCATACTATACGTCTATAAGCAAGGGGTGGTACACCATCTTCAAGGAAACCAACAAAAACTCATCTTAATAAGAAATCTTGGGTAATGCACTACCAAAGGTGATTTCTGGAAAACTCAGCACATAATCATCACAGTAATAGCTAATTAATCAGTGTTGATTCTTATATTTAGTTCTTGATTTTCTTTGCAACTCTTTTTTTCATCCCTTTGGAACTGTGCAATAACATTTGAAGGAATATAATCCATTTTTTGTGAAAACAATATTGCATATTTAATACAGTACATGTATTTCTTCTTAATAAAATAAAACTAATCTCTGGATTTATGCTTGTTCCATTTCTCCTCCTTTCACTGTGAATATTCTTCACAACAGATGGAGCAGGTACTTGTACACAGCAGCGGCAGGCTCTATATAACTCTCCAGCTCCATGTAGCAGAGGATGGATGGAGGGAATGAGATGAAGGGAAGAACGGGAGGAAGAGAGAGGTGACAGGTGGAGGAGGAGCACTAGAGGTGGATGAAGGGAGAGCAGTAGGAGGTGCAGGGTGATGGTGGGCTGACAGCGCTGCCTGTACTGCTGCTGCAGCTGTAATAGGCTCACATCACAGTTCTGCCATCTTCACCGTGTCTCCTCCTATCTATCCAGACTCTCTTCCTGCCTGTCGCTTCTCATCAGAGACAGAGGAACAGAAAGAGAGGCAGGGAGGATGGAGCAAGAGACAGCGAGATAGAGACCAGCTAGGTTTTGTTAAAGGAAAAATCACAAAAAAAGCTGGTGGATGGCAGGGTCAGGATGCTGAAACAAGGGCTGCATTAGACAGGTCAAAGTGGCTGACGCACTGACTGAACTGCATATGGCCATGAGCTATTCAGTGCAGTCCAAATTTTGGCATTAAAATATATATTTAAAGAAAAGCATGAAGGGATAATTCATCACCAACATTCCCCATTAGCTCATACTATAATTCTACTGCTAACCATTTACTGCTGCATCAAAAGTAGCACCAGAAATTATGTATGTAAGCTGGTTTGGAAAGACCAGTGGTACAGTGAATGCCACTACATGCTTTGAATTTGGCAAGCAAGCAAGAATTTCTTAATTATGATTGGGCGTTGATGGGAAATGTTGAACAAATACTTTAGTTGCAGCAGTTTAATCCAAAGGGCACTTTATGGCAGTTGCTTGGTGGTTGTGCCAGTTACTTTTATTAAAATGATTGCGATACAGATAAGAGAGAAGACGTCAGAGGAGATGATCTGTGCAACTGCTGAACGTAATGAGTCAGAACAAGGAAGGATTTTCTGCGCTTGTTTAGGCACAGAGAGACATGAACAATGAAATTCAATGCAACCAATCACAGTTTTTGCATTCTGTGACTCCATGACATGTAGTAACATTTCTGGACAAGGTGCACAACAGGCTAAGGCGTAGGCTACGAGGCTATGCTAGCACATTGTGGCACAACTGGAAAGTGAAACAGCCGCATCCAGTGGACATCAGGGTTATGACACCATTAAAAGGTCAACATTGTGGAAGGTGTGTACATCAACACCAGCGTCCACTGTTCATGTCCTTTCCCCATAACAATTATTGTTGGTTTTAACCATAACCATGATCCTTCCTTAACTATAACCAAGCCTAACCTTAATCTAATCTGACAGATCAGAAAATCACTCATATTTTTTGGTTCTTTTTGAACCTGTTATATAGGACTTTTTTGACAGCGTTTCCAGTATTTTGTCAATTATGTATGAGAACCTGTGTGTTTTTCTTTGTGCTGAAGGAAAAAGAAGACAGTTCAGGGAAGAAGCAGGGGGAACAAATCAATGCAGTGTCCCAACAGGGAGCCATGAAGAAACAGAGCTTACAGATGGATGCTGGGTGTGAATGAACTGGCAGGAGCAGCAGCAGCAGTGAATGAGCAGCACGTTTGACAGCTTAAACAGACCGCCCAAAATGAGATGGCGATTACACAAGGTCAGCTGACACACCAGCTAATGCAGTGCTAGTCAAACTGTCTGCCTGGAGCAGCCTTAACAAGCATCACTTCAAAAAGACTCGACAGTGACATAACGACTAAAAATGTTTGATTTTCTTACACTCTTATTGAGATTTCAAGGATATCAGAGTGGAAAAATTACTGAGTGAGCTCATCTTTCAGTATAGATTAATGGTACTGTAGGTAGGGTTTCTGGAAAATCCTGAGAAGAGCCTGAGGAATAATAAACAGAACTGACTTCTATTACCACTCTCTGTGGTTGGGATGCCTCTTTCTACTGCAGGTCGAGGGTAGGGGCCATGATTAACGCACACAAGGGAAACAGTTCATGTTGTAATTTATGTAGCGTGTTGTGTCGAGGACATCTTTACATCATGAAGCATGCACCCGGAACAGCTCCTCCCCCTGACCTGGCTCCTGGCTTTCAGTCATTCGGACACCCCAGGTGTAAAGACGCTGCTGACAACCACAGTTTCAGATAAAATTGCTCTTGGCACTAACAACTTTATCTGGATGTTTTGGCCTTTGGATATACTCCAAACCAAAATGCCTCAGTTGCTGTCACCATCTGTCAGCTTTTCAACACTGAGATTTATTCCAGTAACAGACAGCCAAACCCAACAAGGCCAGACCCCGAATCCTCTTAGATGACAAAAGTCAAGAATCAGAGAATGACAGTTTGATCTACAGCACAAAAGATGCTGCAGAAACTCTTTGTCCTCAATACAAATTCTCTCTAGCATCTCTCTGTAGTGTCTTACATACATCTCAGTAAAATTACATAATCAAATATACTGGTAACACTTTAAGTGGCTCTCTTAAGCCTTTATAGTTAATATAAATGTTTATTGGTGCATGTAACAACTATAATTGCTCTTGTGAGCAATTTTAAGTGGAGGCTGGTATAACCAGATTATGAATGACAATATAGTAAAATACTTACAGTACAAGTAAAGTCATCCTTATATCAGTTTAAAATTGCACATGACAATGTGCTATCAACCATTTGTGTGCTTCTTTTTAACACTAAACAGACTTAAATAGCTAATTTAATTGCATTATGCAAAGGAGGGAACTTACAATTTCTTTTTTGTTTTTCTTTATGTGCATGTCACAATGAAACTGTACAGTATATGAGGTGTTTATCAGTTAACGGACTCATAATAGCCTTGAAAGAAGCTTATTAAATTGGGTGTGGCAGTTGAAATCAGAAATGTGATAGATGTCAGTATCAGTGTCAGCATTCAACACCAGTGCTGAATGATAGTGGAAATGTTTATCTGTTTTTAATTACTTTAATTTGTTTTAACTCAGATTTGTTCCTAATCATACCAAGATTAGTTGTTTGTTTTTTTTACAAAATTATCATCAGCATCATTACCATCTTGCAGCAACTTTCATCATCTTTAAATCAACTCTTTTACCAAAACTATACATGTTCTTGTTTTCAGTTTAAATACATGCAAAACATACATTTTTCATTTTCAGTTTGTGACTTCCAGAGCTTCATTTTTATTCCAAACACATTACTTTGTTTAAAACTCATGTACCGTAATATCTAAAATATTGGACAGTGCTAAAATCACTGCCTGTCTTGGCATATTGAGGATTCCAGATGTGGGGACCACCTATCCAGTCCTGTCCTCCTGACCTTTACATCACAATCAGACCAGACAAGCATGCAGAGATGGTGGGGAACACTTCCTAACACTGTGGAGATGTATCTGACAGCATGACAGCCCTACTGTACCTAGAAATCCCCAGACATAGCTGGGAGCACTCAGCCACTGTTTTATTTACATGCCCGGCCTTCATGCCATAATATTAACCAGCTTTCATGTTGAATCATTGACACAGATTTGGAGCCCTGCTGGTTCACCTCCTGCACAAATATCTCACTATAAATAGACAGGAAGTCACCCAAGGTAAACATCAGTGGAATTTAGTTTTCTGGATCACTTTATTTTCCATCTTTATCTTCTGTAGTGATTATTTAATCACTACAGAAGATATCTCTTTCTGATTGGTTGATAGGATAAATGAAGACACCTCAACATCTAAAAAATTTTTAAGTCATATGTTAGGTATATTAAATAGATGCTGACGCTGTGGGTTAATTTTTGTCAGCCTTGTTTATTCCTTGTTAATACTGCTTATTTTGTTATACTACGTACATAGCCTTGCATGGGGATATGTACATACACATTGAGAGCCGATGTACCAGAGTCAAATTCCTTGTGTGTCCGACACACCTGGCCAATAAAGCAGATTCTGATTCTGATTCTGATTCAGCCTCCACTTAACCAGTAAAAAAAAAAAACATGAAGCTTTGCCCCATTAGTTACCATGCAAACAAGATCACTATTGATATTGCTTAACGAACTGCCACCTCTTCAGTTCGATTTCCTGTTAACTCACTCCAGACAATGAAAATCAACATCCGGCAATTAGTTTCAGGGGCGGGGGATCAGTCTGCAGCGCTCAGATATGGTGCAGGTATTCATTACAATAAATTGAGCCTGTCTCGCTGCTGTTCATTGGCTCAGTGTTGTCATTTGTCTGATTGGATGTAATGGTCCTGGAGGGCTCGTCTGAAAATGTCTACAGAGGATACAGGCCTGAAGGTCTTTACTTTGGGCTGTTTGCTCCTGAATATACTGCTGAAAGTTCTGAGCTCCTCATTAAGGATTTCACATCTAGATTCATTGTATTATAATAATAGGTTGTGATAATTTAACGATTAATTTAATTTGACTTTTCTATGTCATGAAGTAATAATAATAAACTTTATTTGTAGTACCTCCATAAGGCCGTTAAATAAAATAAGCAAGCAAAGCTAATAAAAGAAAAATAAATAAATATATGAATAAGTCTAAAATGAATGATGGGCTTCTTTCTAAAGAGATTTATATGTGACTTAAAAGATGTCACAGGTCTGTAGGCTTCTGATCTTCATGGTGATTACTTAAATATACTGCATAACCAACTGGCTGTGTACTTTCTTTTCTTCTTTGTCTTTCTGCTACTCCCCAGTTTTTATGCTACAGGTTTTATGCTGGACACCCTTCCTGAGGCACCTGTCCCATTTGATCCAGGATTGGGTTCGACACTAAAGGTGAATTCCAATTCCATTGCATACACTCGCTCCTAGTAAAAACCGAACTACTCCTCTGCTCCTCTGGTTTTGGTTGGGAAGTGATTTTTCAATGCGACTGTGTAATATTCATGATTTGCTTCTACTTTTTAGTAGCACTGCCTTTCTATGTCATGTTGTTTCGCATTATGGTGCTGCAGTAGAAATGACAAAGTACAAGAGTCAAGACCTTTTTCATATCAGTGTGTCTTCCCCTTCTTCAAGTAAAAGAGGAGGATGATTTCAACAGAGCAAAATGAATAGATAATGAACAACATGCTGCACAAAAAAGTTTTATCAAGTGTGGCCTACTTGTCATTTAAAATGCAATATTAGACTAATATGTTTAGATTATTGCTATATCAGTTTTGTACTTTCATGTTGAAAAGCAGGTCTTTTCTCTTTTAAAGTTTGAGGAGAAGCTTCAGTTGGCATTTCTGTGATGAGCTGGAGTCGAGAAAAAAGGCCCGCAAGCTGTTTACACCCATTTAGCTATTCTCCTTGCGTTTCATTTCTTATTTTCTGCTTTCACTCCACCTCTCTGCTGCTCTTTGCTTATATTACTACTAATAACCTCCTTCTGTCACAAACCCACTGGCCTCAGCAGAGAGAGGAAGCAAGAGTAGAACACATTTAATAAAGAGAAACTCAGACTACAGTATTGGTGCGTTAATTGGCATGCCATTAGCTGGATGCCTGGGATTTAATGCATTCAGCAGCAAAGGTGACTAATTTCTGCCTCCACCACTACAACCCCCCAAAACACATAAACCCACACCCAGACATGGACACACACATTTCTGTGGCTAGGGTAAATTGCATGCGGTGGGTCGATACAGGTCCATGGATGGCAGCCATGTCTGGGCTCAGACAGTTTATTAACTGGACTGAGGGGCGGGAATAAACAGTTATGTTGTTTATTCATTGTTATAAATGCATAACATATAAAAACACATTAATTATTCTAATATGAAATAATAGCAATTAATAGCTGCTACTTGTAACCTCAAATAGTTTACAGTGATGGATGGACAAGAAGAAAACAGGCTCCTGGACATAGACATGTAAACTCTAATTACAATATGTATTTCTTACTTCAGAGGGCAGGTAAATTATGCATGCTCACATCAGTAAACAAACATGTTCAAAAAGCACGTCCTTTGAATGCTAATACCTCACACACTAGTTTCCTCTTGAGGTAGCAAAGTGAACTGAAGTTTGAATGTTCTGCTGTCAGAGTTAGCCGTGCACTTCCAGTAAACGAACTACCATTAACCATGACTAAGAATAGGCAGAGCAGCTCTGCGTGACTTTCACTTTCCACTGTGTCATCAGATGTTACAAAAACAGTAAGCTTTGCTGCTCTTGTGTTTTGTAAATTCATGATCTTCTTTGTTGTTTTTGCTTCTCCAGCTCCTCCAGGCTCACCTGAATATACACAACCAGTCTTTTTTTTATAGTATATGCAGCTAATGTATCATGCCGGGAGAATCCATGTCATAATATATGAACAAATAATAATAATAATTTTTAGGCTACTTATAAAGTACTACTATAGAATGATAACACTGGGCAACTATTTTTACTATTGTGTATTACTTCCTTAATCAGGTGCATATTACAGTGCATGGTCAAATGCCCAGAGCATAATTTGCACCATTGCACTGGGTGACATGCTTCTTCTTTACCAGCTCTCTACTTTTTTTTATATTTCATTAGCTTATCGCATGGAAATCTCACACATGTGGAGTTGAGTCTTGCTTTATCTCAGATGTTCTTGCAATCAGCTCGTGACCATAGGTGAGGGTTGGAGTGTAGACCTTTTGGCTCAGCTCCTTCTTCACCATGATGGTCTGGTATAACATCTGCATTACTGCTGATGCTGCCCCATCTGCCTGTCAATCGCACGTTCGAGTTTGAATCAGTACTTCTACTTTTACCAGTCTTTTTATACAGCTATCTGTAATTCCACTTGACTAACAAATGTGTATACTTTTTCCATCTCTGCCCACCCCTAACTAAAAGTGACGTGACCGTTCTCTAACTACATTTATTCCAACAGTAGTTATATAAGATATGACTTCCTGTTAATACAATAAGAGCTGTAATATAATGGCTGTAAATGAAGCTGTAATAAATGTGGCTTGTTCATATATAAAACACTCATAAAGCTGTACTGCGTGGTTCATTTCCTGTAGCAGTCTTTATCGTCTCCTTTCACAAAACAGGATTTGGCAGCTCCATTTGCAACAATCATTATTTCGGCCATTAGCTACTGTACGAGCTACCGGAGGCATTTCTAAATCACCTACATATAGATTTACAAACATACACACACACACACACACACACACACACACACACACACACACACATTTCGCCAAGTCCATTAGGATCTTACATACAAATCAAGTAGGAAATACAAACCCTTGTGCTCTATCACTGTAAATGAATATATGCAAAACAATAAGGTGCTCCAGCTTTTAAAACATCAATCATGTAATAGTTCTGAAATGAGAAATGGGATACAAGAGACAGGATGTGATGTCAACAGGTAAACAGAGACTGCAAAGACAGCAGTGCAAGGTCAAATTGTCCTCGAGCACAGTTCCATACCTGAGATTTCAAACACTGATTTTTTTTTTAGTTTTTATTTGAATAAATATTAAATGTGATCATGGTGAGAAAATGGCTTTGCTACATTTACAGATACTATTTTATGCTTTTGTGTTGATAATTGACTATTCTGAGAACGTGTGTTCCAAATCCACAAACAACCCATCCTTATTATACACATGCTCCATACTATGTGCACTCTAAATACAGACAGACCTTTTTTCAGCTTCACTAACATGCTCCACTCAAAAGATTATCCTGATACACTGTTACTGAGCAATGCTAGAAGACTCCCTGCAAGGCGCTGGTTTCATCTTTTGTCTGTCTTTTCATCTCTGTCTCTTTCTCTAGCTTAGGACATAAAAGTGATGCTTTTGCTTTCAGGCAACTCTTAGAAAGCCTGTTAGGTGTCTGACTAGAGACAGCTGAGTCAAACGGTGAGAAATGAGAAAGAGGGATTCAAATAAATGAACTTCAGAGACTATCGGCATCTCGGACAAAGACAGGGAAAGTGAGCCTGCAGGATAGAGAGAGGCTAAAATAAGACAGAGGTGGGGGTGTGAGAGGGTAAGAGAGAGACAGTCAGACAAGTCAGACAGAGCTGCCTTTGTGTCCAATCCTCTCCTTCTCTCTCACAATCATGCTTTCTCTTCTCAACATACAGCCTGCTTTTATTCCTGGGATTTTGAAGTTTTATTCCACAACAGTAGAATATCTGTTATCATTGTTTTTGTGTCTGACACAAAATTGCTGCAAGGACCTGACAGTTTTCTTCAAAACACATGTAAAGTGTAAAGTGCTAGAAGGGAAAAATATTGGCAGACCAGAGTCAGTTGTCAACAGATTGGTAAAAACTGATAAGTTGTGAGACTTTGTTGCAGGAATCTTTTGTGAACATCATCTAAGGGTGCATTCATTTAAGAGTGTTAGAAGGAGTCTCTTTCTTCAGGACAAATTGCTTCCCAGTAAAAGTCATACACAGTGAAGTCTGTGGAATAAGTGGAACTTTATTTCTTGAAATAAACATTGCTGGTAGATTTTATTAGAGATAGAAATGTTGGTTAGTCACACCACCAGTCTGGTCCAGAGTGAAATATCTCAACAACTATAGGATGAAACATCCTTAAGGGGTCCAGTGTCCTTTCTAGTGTCACCAACAGATCAAGAATTTCTCCTATACTGTGAAATGTTTCCACATCTACTGAGTCAGCCAGCTACTCACCCCGGCTTTTCCTCACCTTGTTTTCTTTTCAGATTCTACAACAAACACAAATATAAATCCTACAACAGCTCCCCAGTTCCCTCCACAGAGCAGAGACACAACCAAACCAACAACATACAACATGCCTAACAAAGAAGCAGCAAAGAGAAACAGTCTACCTCAGCTTTGAATCCATTTGTATAACCTGACTATGGTATAATAATTCACAAACATGGCAGGGAGCAAGAAAAATGCTTATAATGTGAATTACCAGTATGCAAGGTGCTACCATATTTGACACTGTTTAGATTAATAAACAACTGTAAAAGCCCATTTCTGGTTGCATTTGATTTGTAGCACTGAATATGTATTAGCTGATTTAAAAGGTTATAATCCAATCAAGTTAAACAGCTGTGCTGTTACAGTACTGGGGTTATAAACAGCCCACCTGGGTGGCCCATTAAGAAACACTGTATCATAAACTAATGTGGTCTACGGAGGCAAACAGCTCAGATAGTGAGGTGTAAAAACATTACAGACTTTAGCTTCCTGCAGAAAAAAATGCTGCTGGCACACACATACATACATATTTGTACTTCTGTCTTTGTGAGGACACTCACTGATATAATGCATGTGCTGAACCCATTACCCAAACTCAGCCATCCCACCTAAATGCCTAATTCGCTCTACCCCTAACCCTGATTCCTAATCCTCAAATAGACCTTGGAAAGTGTGTCACAAAGTGAGGACCAGCCAAAGCATCCTCATTTCAAAGGTATAAAACATAAACTGTTCCTCATAAAGAAGTCACACACACACACACACACACACACACACACACACACAACACTCTCACATGCTGAAATAATCAATTTCAGTCAAGAGTTACTTTCAGAGTGAGGCTTCCATTAAAGAATAGTTAATATTTGCAACCACAATAAGTGTTAAGCCTATTGATTAGAGTGTCTTTAATCTTTTCTGTATTTACAGTTTGTGGACACAGGGAATCTACAACAATAGATGTCCTACATTTTACCTGTAGCCAATTTCCTGTCTTCTAAAACAGTCTCCAGGCAGAAGAGACATAATTTTTACTATTATCACAACTAACTAATGTGATTTATACATATTTTAGGCAGCAACCTACCGTAACCTCTATCATAGAATCTTTGTAAAGGCCTGAGAGGCATAAAAGTACATTGTAGAGAAAGAAGAAAACAGCAATTAGCGAGAAGTGCTGTCTAAGGTGGGATTTCCAATATAAACAAAAGCGAGTAAGCAGAGATTATGATGAGGTTGTTGGGTGAAAGTGGCTGAGCTAGTCAGGTTAGCATATGCTTGATAATTTCTTTTACCTAAACAGCTTATGCGTTAATTTTTCTGTCCAACACTGTTCTGATGATACAGCCAAACTGTACACTGAGGAGGTTTTCTTTGTGTGTCCACATTTCCATCTATCATGGAGCAGTCTGCAGTGACATTACTAAAACATTCGACCAGTAAACTAAAAGACACAACCATACTGGGTGATAACTGTCCAGCAGTGTGCTGACTTATTAAGGCATCCAGCTGAAGACACAGCCTTTGGACAATATCTATTGTCTTCAGGAAAAAAAAAATCTGTTTCAAACTCAGCTTTTATCGGTTTACTGTATTCCAGCTAAGTATAGTTTTGTCAGCAAAGCATGAGAAAACAAGACATTGTGATTCCTCACGAGCAAAATCCCTGACTAAGCCTTTTTTCCTTTCCGGCAACACACACACAAAGCAACTGAACCCACACTCATGTCCCTGCTCACTGTTATTAATCACTGGAATGTTCAAATTGCTGTTAAATTGTCCATGGTGCAAAGTAAACCTTGAGGCAGAGACAGGAGCAGTGCTGGATTTCAGCTCTGCTCTCTGTATCTGTTAGGAAACAAATGTGTAACGTGTGTGTGTGAGTGTGTGAATGAATGTTTTATCATCTCTGAGACTCACAGTTGCTTCCTCAGAAGGACTCTGATTAATTATACAATATCTGACCTCTTAATGTTCACTTTGTTCAGCTCTCCAGCTCTATTTAAATCTCTTTTGATCTCTTTTTAATCTACTGTTTGATCCCAGTATAAAATGTGGGACATAAATAAAGTTGACCCGACAAAAGGGAGAATATTAGTGAATGTTTAGTTGTTTATTGCTGATGATTTTCTAGGTGACCTCCATAGTGAAATGATTCAGTCAGAGTCATAAAGAACTGTCTTCAGAGACAACAAAGAGTCCTGTAACAGGCAGTCTGGGTCCCACAGAATCCTGATCTCAACATCCTAGAGTCAGTCTGGGATTCCATGAGGAAAGAGGAGACAACGAGACAGTCGAAGTCCACAGAAGAACCGTGGCGAGTCCTCCAACAGGCCTGGATCAGCCTAATGCATCTGCGAAGTACCTTGAAAACTACATTCATCGGCCACTTTATTAGGTACACCTGTACAATTGTATGTACTTCAATGCAACACTTCTGCCTTAACAAATGTGTGTATGAAGCTGAAAACCTTTGGTTTTTGGTGAAATTATTAAATATATAAATTCAATTATATCTTTTACAGTATATATTCAGAGGTGTTCCTAATATTTTGACCCTCTCATGTATGTAGCTGTGGAGGACAAAAATATGGAACCACCTCTGAATATAATGTAGTCCAGTGCAACACCACCTTTAACTACGACCTCAATAATAAAGATATAATTGAAGTTATGCCCTAAATCATTAGTAAGGCTCAGTCTTTATCACTAAATAAATATCTCTTCTAAGGTCTATGTGTCTTTTTGTGAGAACAAGTTTGAGGAACGGAACTTTTCACAACAGGACCTTTTTGCTAGATGACGTACAGTTGTTAATCACTTTGACAAAAGGCTGATTTGCATCTTGCCCTTGTATGGATACAAATCCATTTTGATCTTTAGGATAAATCCCATTAACAGTACACAGAGATGACCAGTTAGCTCATAAAGACGCCATATG